GTTCATGTTTTTCTGAGCAGGAACATACCACAAGTGGGTCCTTTTCCCGATCTGCTTGTTGCACACCATGCTATGTTCATCCCGAGAAAGTCCGAACCTGGCCATTTTTGCGACCAGGTTCACGTTTTCTGAGCACGCAAGCGGGTCCTTTTTTTCCCGATCTGCTTGTTGCATACCACGATTGAATCTTCCCACAGAAAATGGCCAGGTTCGTTTGCTATAAATGGTAACGAATGTATTTTGCCACCTTTGTTGGGCAGATGCACTCGTTTCGTTTTCGTTTCGTGTGCCGGCGAGACCCATAGCCATATATTCACCATAGACCTGTTAAGTACGGGCCAAGCTGCTGATGAATTGGCGGAAGTCCCATGAACCAGTCTGTCACAGGCACGGCCTTGGGGCCTAGCTCCACGACTCTCGAAATGTGCAAAAGGAGAATGAATTGTCCGCTAGAACATGGAAAGATACACCGCCATGTTTTTTTGTCTTTTCTGCATGTCCAGAGTAGTGCGGTAGAAATGTGCAAAAGGAGAATGAATTGTCCGCGAGATCATGGAAATATACACCGCCATGGTTGTTGTCTTTTCTGCATGTCCAGAGTAGCGGAGCCAGGCCCTTTCTTCGGCTTGTTTTAGCGAGTACAGACTCGGAGCACACTGACGGATGTGATGGCCTTCTGTGCTCTCTCTTCAGATTGGGACTGGTTTCATCATGGTTGTATGCATCTGGTCCCGTTTGAGACTATTTGTCTCTTTATGGGACTGGGTTGTTGCAGAGGCATTGCTACATTTTGTTTTTAGAGAGTAACAGAGCACACTGACGGATGTGATGGTCTTCTATGCTCTCCCTTCAGGGCATACTCAGGGCATATACTCACACGGGGACCAAATGAACCAAAATCCCAAAATTTGAGGCATTTTTGTGGTCACACGGGGTTGGCCCTGTACCCAAATGCCTCAAATCGTGACCAAATGTCAGCGGCCTGCGAGGCCGCGGGGGTACCCTTTTTGAGACCACCTCCAGAGGTGGTCTCAAATGACCAAACGCTTTTTTCGTTTCCTTTCCTCAATTTGTAGAAAATCGTAGAAGAATAAGACAACCAGCCGAAGTTGTTTTTCTTTTC